AAGTCAAACTAAATCAGAGAATTCTTTTGATTTTGATTTTTCAGAATTGAAACGTTGAGAATAAAACTAAAATTTCAAGATTAAAGTCAAACTTTTAAGAATATATCCAACTACTCTTGTTAGTGTACATGCCTGACGCTACAAAGTGCCTTGAATAGATGAATTGGATAAACTGTTCTTCAGAATCAGTTATCAATCAATAAATGAGGACATTCTTTCTCTTTTAGCAAATAAATACATTGTGGTGAATCTGTGTTACGTCTTAAAGAGGAAGAGCCCAAAACTGTCTGTTCAGTGGAAGAACCCACACAAGGTTGGACATTTCAAATGTATTCTCTCAATGCAAGAAAAAGATCTTCCTCTGATTTAGTTTGACTTAATTCTACGTTAGAACTTTGGAGACATGGTGTGATGGTGTGTTAGTTCAGAATGTAGTAGTCTTTCTGTTTGAAGGGGGATTATTGATGAATCAGTCAGAAATCATATTGTATTACTACCAGCAACTTCAGGCATTCATTGTCTGCCATAGAAATGGAGAAGGAATGATAGAGCACAAAGTCCCCGACCAGATGTCTACAACACACACCAGTCTTATTTTTTTCCTGGTCGTTTCCATCTTTGCTTCCTCTCCTCTCATCTGTCTTCCTCCCTCTCTCAGCTTCACATTTAGCATGCGTCACCGACTGCATGCCACAACATAACACAACAACACACCGTCTCCATTCCTCCATCTATCCGACAACACTGAACGAGAGCCCGCAGTCTCCCTTTTCCCTGCTCTCCCTTTTGTCCCTCCCTCACTCCCACCATTCCTGCTCCCAGCCTCGCTGCAACCGTCTCCCCTCCCCCTCCCTCTGAGCTCCATTGTGAGTGCTTGGTTCAGCAGCCTCAGCCTCTCCTGCAGTACGCAGCCTTGCCTTTTCAGTGTGCAGCCTGAGCCAAATGCAGAGCAGCCTCCCATCATGGGCTCAGGGGAGGGGAAGCACTTCAAACTGCAGGCCCGGCCAGGAGGAAAAAGAACAACACTATGCTGACTGCTGAGCTCATCTACAGGTTGTGAGAATTCAAGTGTTTACTGACATCCGGTTTGTTTCTATAGATGTCGTCTCCCAGCTCTCGCTCACATCCCTTGATTCGTTTTACCCAAACAAGAGACATGTAAGCTGAAAACCTGCTGGCACTGCAGTTTTCTGATCAGCTGCATGGTAACAGCATGCACGGCTTTGACAGGTGCGTGAGCACATTCGTCTGATTTACAGCCTTTCTCACAGAAACCTGGAGCACATTTGGAGGAAGAGGGCAAGAGGGGAGCGCTGCTGAAACTACTGTGCTTTGTGTAAAACAACCCCCTGGATACTCCTAACACATAAAATGATAAAATGTTTAATCTGACAAGACCGCAGAGCTTTTCTAATGCTAAGATTACAGCAGGTAATGCTTTCTAAAGTAGAACACCGCTGCAAAAGTATGGGGGGGCCAGCATCACCAGATAAATGATAACTATTGCATTGGTACGATAATTATGCTTTCTGTACCACGTACGATCAATAATATAGATATAATACAGAATGTACAATAATTTCAATATTTTTGTGACAGTGTTAAGAGTTATATTTTGGTATTTGGTGCAATACTTAATTGCCCATCTTGAAACGCTGATGGGTTTGTTTTCTCAAGATGTATTACATTTTGTACTTGATGTGTTAACATTTTTTAATGCCCAAAACACATATATGTGCAGACTGATAACTAATTTTGATTTTGAATTTCTTCATGATAACATGGCACATGCCTTTAGCTTCAGCAGCATTTAATAAGTCTTTAATAAGAGTGCATTAAGAGATTTGATGATATGCAGCAGGTTTTATGCACTGTCATTAGTCTGGAACAAATGCCCCTCTTTAAAATCCCTTGATGGCCTCACAGCTGTGTCTGACCTTTGGTGGCTCTTAATTCTCTTTCCAGATGTGATGCAGGGTGATTGGCGCCGAATCTAATGGGGATTAAAAGTCTTGCATTCTGCAATATCTACAACGCAAAACAAATACAGGCTGCATTTTTGTGAGATCAGATCCAATTATATAACGTGCATCTCACTCTGCAGGCCCATCTCTCTGTGTTTGTTGGAGCCTGAGGGAATAAACTTTCATGCAGCAACAATTTAAGTTTGTTCATAAGAAAATGAAAATCAAATAAAGTAAGACTTTGGCCTCACTTTGGGAAATGTTTTATAACATTAATTGTTGACCAGCGGAAAGTATTAATTATATTCAGAGCCAGAGTTAGCACAGTAACCATGGTAGCGAGGGCGCGCTCAACCAATCACAAGTCAGTCTTGGCTGTCAATCACAATGTTTCATCCTGTTTTTATCGCATCAAATTACAAATTAAAAACAAATACTGACAAAAATGTGCACACACAAACATCAGTGTGATAAGATAAAATTTCGTTGATGTGTCCTTAGCCCGTTTAGTTTGGTCCATGTCCCGTCCACAACCATGGAGGAGATTTATGACCTATACTGTAGCCGGCCACCAGAGGGAGTAGCTTTGGCATCACTTTTGACATTCACAGTCTATGGTGAAAACATACATACTGCGAAACCTTTTATCTTTGGGTAATCTTATTCATGTATCTATGGCAATGTGAACCAAACAGCACATAAAGAGAAACGCTCATGTAAACACATCACCCAAAAGTGACACTTATTCTACTATAAACAAACTAATAGCCTAATAAATTCATTTATCAAACCCTAACCCTTTTTACATTTCATTATCACACACAGAACATCTTTCTTAACAAATGTGTTGTCTATTTTTCTGGATCATATTTGAGCTGCTGTTACAACATAAGGAGTACAGATTATTAAAACCACAGTAAAGAGTAAGACTCAGCCGAGGTCACAGAAAGTGTTCCTCAGTGATCCATTCATTTCTAATGATGATATTGACCTCCCATGTAATTATTCAAACCACAAACCACCACAAAGAGACGAGAATATTTCAGCGATTAATGTTCAGCAGCGATGGTTTTTGGAAAAGGTATTTTCATGAACTTCTCACATACAACCTCTATAAACCCTTATGTTATACTGAACTGGTATTTATTCACCAATGTTTGTTTGCTTAAACTAAATAATCAATTAATTGGGAAAAATACAGTTTAATCAATAGTGAAAATAAGCATCAGTTCCAGCCATATGGTTTGTTACTTTGCAGATGAATCATGCCTGTAATTCCACCATCATCTCAGTTTAATACATTGCCTTACTTTATTACATAACACAGGATTAGAATACTGGTGATCCAAAGTCTGCAAAACAAAATGGAATTACAGTGCAGCCATCACCGTCTGCGACGCAACATCAGTCTGCTGTAGTGGCTCTTTCCAATTGATGAGCTCCAATTGCTTAAACCAGCTACCTACCCAATCAATATCAGTGATTATCTGTGTGTGTGTGTGTGTGTAAACCTGCAGTGGCTGCACTACCTCAAAATGAAACAGACTGTGGTATAATGTTGAAGACCTTTCTGTGTAATTCCCCATAAATATTTAAGAGCTATTCTCAAGACTCTTTTCTCTCAAACTGCTAATGATGAAGAGGATGAAGATGAACATGGTGTAACCTTTTATTCTTCTATTAAAAGGGAGATGCCACTCTCTCCAGCCACTGCAGAAACACCCATAAAAAGCTTTGTTTAATTGTTAAGCGTGTTCCCTGCAGCACTTTCACAGGCATGGAAGCCCGCCTCGTGAATTATTCAGCAGCCAAGGTCACAGTGCTGAAGCGTTTTCTCTTTTCCTGTCCCAAACGTGGAGAGTTTGTTGTGACACCTTTTAAAAACCTTCACCTAACTCCACAGCACCAGTAATTAGTCCTGGACTGCAGGCGTGGACCACACACACACACACACAGGTACGGCATGGAAAAGAAAAATATGAAATATGAAAGAAGCATAAATATGACAATAACACCAGCAGTCTGTGCTCATAACCTGGAGGTGATGCATCCCTTACACTTATACTGTGCAATATGTGCAATCACTATAATGGCCATGTGGGTTTTCAGGCTAATGAAGTGTGTTTCCAGTAATCCACAAAAGAAAAACAAAGCACATTTAAGAAAATTACCTTCCTCTGTTGCTTCATCTCTTTTAATCCGGAACAGAATGTATTCTACCGTAGCATCCCACCCCCCCTGCATGCCGCTTTGAGTTCAGTTTTAATAACCAGACCCTTAAACTTCCCCTTAATATACTGTACACATCAGCATCAGAGTCACCAACTCCACATCAATCGATAAATCAGCATTAATTCAGACTGTTTGTCTGGGAACAGGGGCCATCTACTTCTCCCAGCTCTTACGTGATGGATCTGAGGCTGGTGCCATATCCCTGGTTGAAGCACTGACGGTCTGCATAATGCACAAGGTGCGCAGCTGACTTCTGAGGGAGAGGGGGGAGGAGGAGGAGGAGAGACAAACTCTGCATGTGAGGCCTACAGTACGAAGCCTGCATGGGCAAGGCTTGTGTTTTGAAGAGGAAGCATCGTCCATGCATCATCCATTTGCAGCAGTCGACCACACATTCAGAGCGAGTGGATGATAGATAACCAGATGCTCAGATGCAAAATAAACAAAGAGAAGCATCCTGCATATGAGAACATTGTTATGTGATGTTATTCTAATAAGCTGTGTGGTGTTTTTAAGCCTATTGGATGGAGATGGAGAGCATGGATGGACAAGCATAGCGCCATTACGCACGGTTACAGAAACAACATCTATCACGATACTGTTATTTATTTATTTGTTTATTTGTTTATTTCAATCATGGCTGTCCCTTTCCCCCCCATCACTACATTGGACTTCATTAACCTTCCCTTCTAATCAATATTCATCACTCCACCCTCCTCCGGGCAGCAGCTGTTTGTCCGGGGGAGCATCGCACTGCATCCACCGCCGCACATCACACACCAAAACCCCGGAACCGGCCCTTACCATTCCGTGCCAGCTGATGACGATCCCCAGTCCGGTGACGGTCCTTTTCTTTCTCAAAACATCCCGACGGGAGACAGTGATGCGGCGGCGACCATAGCTGTGCCAAAGGCTTGATTCAGACGATCAGAAAGATGGAGAATTCATATATAAAAAAATATATGTCTAAAGGCAAAAGGAGCAGAGGTGGACGCAGCCCAGGTTCGCTGATGCTGAATCACTCTCTCTGTCTCTCTCTCTTCCCACAGCTCACCACCTTGCAACCATTGTGCTGCAAGATGCTGGCTGTACCATCGTGGACCTACCAGAGCAGAGAGAGAGAGAGAGAGAGAGAGAGAGAGGGAGGAGAGAGAGGAATCGATGGAGGGAGGGAGGGAGAAAGAGAGAGATAGGGATGGATGGAGAGAGAGAGGGAGAGAGGGAATAGGATGGAGGAGGAGGAGGGGGTACAGGGAATCATGTTCCCATGGCAACCCAACAGGAGCACGTCTGACGTCAAGCAGGGAGCGAGAGAGAGAGAGAGAGAGAGAGAGAGGGAGGAAGGGAGGTGGAGATCTCATGTGAGGCTCTCTCTCCGGATGGGAGGGGTGTTTTGGAACGTCTCTCTCTCTCTCTCTGTGTGTGTGTGTGTGTGTTTGTGTGTGTGTGTGTGTGTGTGTGTGTTTGTGTGTGCCTGTGCTTCCATCCTGTTCCCTCCCACCGCCACCCACCCTGTGATCTTGAGACTCATCTCACACAAATTTAAGCCTATATTGATGCAACCAGCAAACAGTGCAATAATCATACTAATGATATTAATAATAATCACAATAATATTAATAATAAAGGACAAGAAACTGAAAGTGGCTGCTCTTTGTTTGGATATGATGGCGAAATCAAAGTACAATCCACTACAGAAGCAGTACAGAAACAAGTATCATAAAATAGCAAAACAAATCTGATACCAAAATACAACAATTGCTCATTTTTATCCAAAATACAAATAAACATGGCAAGAAGGGAAACCGACTTTACCAGGTAAATGCCATCTTTGTCTGCTGTTTGGTGTTGAGCTGGTATTGACTATATTTATTGTAGATTCAGTTTACCAGAGACTTTATTTGCATTTATTCAAAACTAAGTAGCAATTTAACAAATACCACCATATCCCTGGAGACATGAATATATTATTTATTGATGTGATAAAGACACCATTATGTGAATGGGACAGTTCCTGTTCAGTTATTATTTCCAATATTTCTTTATTTTTGCTGGCTGAGGCTCAAACGGATGATGCACCTTGACACTAGTGTTGACTGAGGAGAAAAAGCTTCACCAATGGGGTTCTCTCAAACCCTCAATAAAATGTGGACGGCACAGATATCCAACATATCCAACATATCACCAGACATGCCTCAAGTTAAATTTAGGGTGGAAGACTTCATCACAGAGTAGAAGGACGTCTCTGGCCCTGTTCGGACAAGATTCTATTCACACATTCAAATCAGTGTTTTATATTCAAACAGGTTAATGCACAGGTCAATCACAGGCCTGAGAAAATCTGGAGGATTTGAATAGACGCCCACCAAAGTTGCTCACATGAGCTTTATCATAAGTGCACATTCATTTCTGAGGGTTCCTCCCAGAACTAATTTCAAAGGCATTGAAAAGAAAAGAACAGAAGTTTTTTAATGCTCTGCAGATGGACCCAAAGGCTAAACTAACCAGTCAGCTAACCACATGCCTTCATCCTCACAGTACCTGGCGCCCCACATTTCGGACACTGTCAGAACAGGCAGATCCACTCTTTCAAGTTTTGACTGCAAATGGCCCCTGGGGCTCAGACAAGCTCTGATGAGGGAGGTATTTAGGACAGCACTGACAGAAATAGAAAGAGGTAGGAATCCCAAATTCAGAGCCTCTTGGTTACACTTTATGAGACATTAGTCATCACGACCCTGTCAGCCTCTCAGTCTCCTGTGTGGGGCCTCTCAGTCTCCTGCGTGGGGCCTCTCAGTCTCCTGCGTGGGGCCTCTCTGCCTGAGGTGATGTACACAGATTAAAGACTATTGTTTTACAGTGCTAACACATCACTTTGGCAGCAGTTTATCTAACAACTTTTCCATGCATGCTACAAGTTAGAAAACTGCAGGAAATGCCTTAAACATGAGAAACTTTTAGAACAGTGATCATATATATCAGTCTCTTTATGGCCAATGGGAAAAACTCCTGGTGAAAGTTCAGGACAGCTCACAAACACAGGGCAGCACCCAACCCTCTAGTAACTCAACACATTCTCCTCCTTTTCTTGAGAATTACATGAGCTGTAAATGAGGACGCTGTTTGAAAAATGAAAGTGTCATTGTCATTTTTGACATTTGTTGAGGCAAGAATTTCAATGTATTTTAACCATTATATGCCACTAACTGCAATTCAATTGTCTAGAGCCAACAATTAAGCTATTTGACTGGAATTTTTAGCATTTAATCAGATTACTCTGTGCTATACATTCGGAGAAAGAGTATTTGTAAAGGGGGTTAATGTTTTATGCACAGATTGCTGATGATGTTGAGAGACAACAATGTATTTTTCCATGACAAAATCTGTAATTGCCCTGATGTTGGTGAAAAAATATGCTTTATAGTATTAGTATTTTAAAAGGAAAGCACTGGAATGTAATTAAATTTGTCCTATTGATCAGTCATCAACACGTACGGTTAAACATGAACATTCTCTGTCTAAAGAGAAACAACGTCTTATCACTTCAGCCCACTTGGTGTAGATAGTGATCCTGCATTATTAATGCTGACAGGCTCTGGCAGGCAGAGATACAGAGATAGGCCTTTCACCACAGCCACCATTGTTAAAAGGCAGCGTGTACTGACACCTAAGTGCCACTAGATGGCACAAGACAGTCCATGAATGTGGGACAGCAACTTTGAAGTGCACCATGGGAAGGAAGTACTCAACAGTGAATTGCTTCCGGAAAGTTTTAAATGACTGTCAGGCAACTTTGATGTCATGGGAAAGAGAAAATACGACGGGCCTGATGTGCAAATCAGCAAACACAACAAATCATAAAACACAACTTGGGAAAGACTACAGCAAATAAGAAAGCATGGAAGGAAATCACAAAGCACAATGGCAAATAAAAAAAACATCTCCACAAATCATAAAACACAACAGCAAATAAGGAAATAATAAAACATGACAGGAAATGGCAAATAAGAAAACAATGAAAAAAAGAAAACTCAACAACAAGTCACAAAACAGTGGATCCATCCAGTCAGAGAGGAGCCTTCTCTACCGACCTTTCCTGTTAGAAGTTAATGTTGTTGTGTTGTTATTCTTTTATTGTGTTCTGTGATTTGTCATTATGTTTAGTAATTTGTCTCTGTTTTGAAATGTGTGAATTGTGCTGTTTGTGGTTAATTGTTGTGATTTGTCCTGTTTGTGAGTTATCGTTGTGGTTTATTGTTGTGATTTGTTCTTGTGTTCGTGATTTCTTGATTTAAAGTCGACATATTAACTTGTTTTTTTGATATACGAAGTAAGTTGTCAGCTCTTCCTCTCCACACAGTCCAGTAGTCTGTAGAATGAGACATTAGATGGTGCATCTGTTCTGATCAGAGGTTTCAATTATCAGACATTCTTCTATTGATTTACAGAAACTCATTCAGTCACTGGAGCTGATCAAACCATCTCCTCCTCCATAATCAGACAGGTCCCCTGAGTTGTGTGTGTGTGTTACTATAGAAACCACAGTGGACAGTCAGGTGTCTGGTTACTCCCAGTTACTCCCAGTCAGCCCACGCTCCCCGGCCTGAGGGAGGGGTTATTCGGCTGCTCAGCAGTAACACGGCCGCTCAGAGCTGAGCGGTGGCCGTCAAACACGACCTCTGAGCTCAAGTGGAGATTTTATTTCTTTTTCTATTTTTTTAATCTGGAGCGGCTCGGAGGAGAAAAAGCCGCGGTGTCGCCGGTGGTTTCCCTAGGGCGAAGTCACCGCTGGGGGACCGGGAGATAGGACCTGTTGCCCGGCTGTGTTTGTGCGTGACTCCTCGCCGCGTCGGAGCCAAGATGTTGCTTTGTGGACGGGATGGCGTCTGCTCCCGCTGGTGTGCGCACACATAAGCCTCGCCGGAGTACGAACATTTCCCTCCCGAGTGTTTCTGTAGCTCGTTTTGCCCGGTAAGTTTCTCATTAGCCGCTCAAAAAAACAATTATTTGTAAAGTGAATTGTTTTTTAAGCGAACTTTGGCGTAGCCGCTGTCAGCTACTCTCCCGGGAAACCTGAGGGGCTTGAGTCGGTTGTTGTTGCCGTGCTAAAGCGCTAATGTCTGTTTTAACTCACAGTAAAAAACCTTAGCAAGGCTGTTAGCTAGCTACTTAAACTCTCATTTACAATGTTTAACCTGGAAGTTGTTTTGTGCGTGTTGTACTGAAGTCACAACACTACAGCTCCTTCTGGTGACTGACATGAAGCATCTTTGACCACACTAGTGACCCTCAGTTTTAGATCCAGCAGCCATGAGACCCCACAACATGATTTCCACCTAACAAACTTCTTTACACTTCATTCAGCTGCATTGTTTCTGCAGCCCTGGCCAACATGCATGAGTCTAAAAGTGTCAGCACTGACTGAAGCTTTTATTGGGGGGGTTGCAAGAATCCAACTTGTTCCCCCTCCCCCTTCATTACCATAGAAAAGTAGTAAAGTTGACTCAAAAGTCAAAGGTCACAATGTTTTTTGTGTGAATACGTGTCATTTAAGACTCAAAGGAGAAACCGGGCGACGGAGCGAGACGACCCGTGCCCCATCCTGCGTGGATCTGATGGAGATGGTGTGAGCATCATCATAGGAAAAATAGCCAGTGGGTTGGGTAAAGAGGAGGAAGAGAGAGGTGGGGGGGTTGGAGTGAGGTTTTTCTTTTCTTTTCTTTTTTTTTTTTGCAAAACCCTGCTCTGCATGTCACGGTACTCACAGCAACCCTGTGATTAACAGAAATGGAGCGGATGAGGTCGAGACCAAAATGAGAAGTGAGGGCTGTCGGTCCAGAGTTGGGCTGATAATCATGGAATAGTCGTGGCTCTCCTCCTCCTCCTCCTCCTCCTTCTCCTTCCTTCCTGACCCTGGCACTGCTGAGAAACAAAACATCCAGGGTGGCTTAAGACAGAACCGCTCCATAACTGGAAGATGCAGGGTTCGGTGATGTAATGGGCAATGTTGCGTCCATCGAGGGGAAAAAAGAAAACCTGGAAAAGCGTGTGGGCATATTGCCTCAGTTGTGAGCGGGGTACAATTAATGAAAACTAGCCACTGGGTTTAC